CAGCTATGTGGTCAGCCCACCTGTCCCCGAAGAACTCTGGAGTGGGGAAACAACAAATGAGAAGTGTAAACACATGCAGTGGTACACAGTGTGAGATGTGCTATGGTCAAGATTTACAAGCAGAGCCAGGACCCCAGAAAAGAATCCTCCTGCCTGGGGGGGTTGTGGCAGACTGAAGAGCAGAGCAAGTGACGTGCACTTAGGAGGGAGGCGGTGCTATTCTAGGCCAGAGGGAACAGTTTGTGCACAACTTGGAGACGTGACAGCATGCGATATTTTAGGGGACTGGCCCGTTGTTCTGCGTGGCAAGGAGTTTCAGCTCCAGGATGCTCACATGAACTGAGGCCCAGCCGCAGTAAATCGTGAGGGGCTTGTTGAGCCCCAAAGAGCACTTGAAGGCTTCTGATGTGATTAGATTTTTGATACCTGTTAAGGCAGCAAGAGATTACCCATGGAGGGTGCCAAGGCCAAGGTGGCTGCACCCAGTCTCCAGAGGCCCAGGTTCTTCATCCCCGTTTACCAGATCCACCACTGCTGGTCCTGCCTGTTAACAGCAAACCAGTGACTATGTCAACACCTGTTTTCCTTTGGCCACAGAAAACAGCATCGTTTTATTAGCAGCCATCAGTGTGCTAGGACAAAACAACCTGCGTCTCCAAAACGCATTCTTGTTTTCCAGCTTGCCGCTGTATCCCCAGGAGGCTTCTCAGTGGGGACTCTTTCCTTCAAGTCCCTTTACCTCTGTTCTGTGCCCAATACAGGATGTGTCTTCAGCATGGAAGGAGTTTGATTTCATCCAGTTTTTACATCTGTGCTGTCCAGAGGGCTTTATTCTTTTCAGTTCTCCAAACAGATTTCGGAATTAGATCCTAATCACCAAGTGCTTGTTCAGAAAGCTGGGTTGGGGCAGGGGCTCAGTTCCCTGAGGCTTTCTTGGGTGTAGGTGGGTGGTGCTGAGAACTCATTCTTTCTGCCCCACATTCCTACCTAAACGTCCTCCTCTCCTCTTTGCCAAGGGCTATCTCTCCACTTTTGCCCTTCAGGATCTCTGGATTTCCTGATTTTCTTTGCCTAGTCATTGCCATGTGTTTTTCTGACCCCCATCCCACACCTTCCTCCGTTTCTGCAATTCTGGCCCTCACACTTGTCCACTGGTTGATGAAAGAGCCCTTGATTGAGCATGCCCTCACTTTTCCTCATGGGTGTTTTAATACTGATGCAGGTGTGGGACGGCATTCAGTGTTTTATGATTTTGCAGCTCTTTTCAGCCTACAGCAACCCCTGCAAGCCCTATACCTTGTTATATTTCTGCCTTGTGTATCAGGAATGGACATGTTATAGGCTACAGGTAGTTAGGCCAGTAAGGATGACCACAGTTAGGCCAGCGAGTTGGGCATCTCCTATACATTTAACTCCAGCCCAACACCAGCAGTTGGGCTGTTGACTTGGCTGTAGACCTAGTCTACTTCATCATCAGTCAGAAGCCCTCTTGACTTTTTCTTGAACCAACAAATAAATTTCAGTGTTTAACCCTGAGATACACATACAGAAAAGTGCATATAGCTAAGTGACTTCTCACCAAGAACACTGAAGAAGCCCCTCTTGTGTCTTCTCCAGTAGCCGAGGGGAGCCACCACTCTGGCTCAACATCACAGATAAATTCTGCCTGTGTTTGAAATTGCATAAATCCAATCATTCCATATGCATTCTTTGGTGGCTGGCCTCTTTCTGAATTCAGGCTTGGGAGATATTTATAAATCCTCACTATCTGTTTATAAATTCCCCTTCCTGGTTGATTTTTACTTTCCTTTCCCTAGTTTTCCCTTCAATAAGTAGAGATCTCAGTTTCCTTCTGGGACGTCTTAACGTTGACATGATAGGCCATCTATGTGGCCTTTGCTCAACGATATGCTTGTTCTTCCTGTGGGTGAGTAACTAATTCCAGATTCTCGTATGCTTCCCTGGTTTTTCCTTATAGTTGATCCCTCTTTGAGACCCATCAGCCCTTTGTGTCATTCTGGTTTGTTCATTTGATTAGGCTCTCCAGCACAGCGGGCAGCACCAGCTTCCTGCCAGGCCCCCTGTGACTGATGTATTAACATCCATGTGGGTTTCCCTTGGGACCCAGAAATGTTCACAGCTTCTGGCAGCAGTTGACTGCATTGTGAATCAATTTTAAATTGCCTCAGTATGATGATCACAGACCTCATGTGTGGTTTAAAGAAGAAGACACCTGGGAGAGAGGTGGGTGTCTTCCAAAACTCAGTGTACAGCTCTCTGTCTACACTTTGTGCATCTGTTCTAGTCTGGAACATTCAACTCCCTTAACAAGTGGGGTTCCAATTGAAGCAAAGTAGAATTTTCTTCCCCTAAAACTCCAGAATTGCTAAAAGGGTGCCTGATGGAAAGTTTGCCAACCTGGAGGCGCCCACCGTGATTTACGTCAGTGAAATGAACCTTCACTTGTGCCATCACCAGCACAGAAAGCTGTCAAGGGCAAGTTCTCTCCCCATGTCAACCACTGTTCTAACCAGATACATTGCGTTTGATCGTTTCATGGAAACACCCTGGTCCTCTCTCTACCTAGTTATTTGTTTGTCATTTTCAGTCCCAATTCACAGTGCCCGATAGCTGGGTCACATAACTTGCTACTGGACCTTAAAGAATTCTTCTAGAACATGATGGAGTTAAACTCCAGTTCTTGTGGTTCCATCTTCAAAGGCAATCCAATGCTATTTGATTCCAACTCCAAATATCCCATAATAAACGGCGTAGAGTCTTTAACCACAATGTTCATGTATTAGAGTATCATGTGGGCTTGATATGTTACCACGGACACCAAAGGATACTGTTGCATAAAACAGAGGGGATTTAATGGCTTATTTTGATGTAAAGGCTTGAAGCTATAGTAGTTTTTTATGCATATTTACTTTCTAGGACATTCTGTGGGGTTCCCATTCTGTACGCTCGATTATTCAAATTAAGAGTAATGTTAAGGATTTGGTCCAGCTAGCCATGTAATATTAGTTATGGAACCAGTCTGTCAGGAAATCACATATATCTAAGATTGTATCGTTTGCTTGGGGGAAGGGAAAGTTCTTTTTCTAACCTTCATGTATTTGATATTTTGCTCTCATAGAGAGAAAACAATAACGTATATTTTCTTCCAAGTTTAGGAAGTATGTGGGTTTTATGTGTAAGCAGGTTGGAAACCTAATATCCTATATCAGTTTTCAATTTTGTGCATGCTAGCTTATTTCACAAAATTTGAGTTAGCATTAAAATGAAAATTTGAGTTCTCTGTTAATACCCATGGTCTGTTAGATCTGTAAAGGAACTGCAAGGTGCCAATGACAAGTTCCAGAAAGGGCCCAGACTTATCCCAGAGGGTCATGGAAAGGAGAAAACTCTACGTACCTCATTTGTTATGTATGCAGACCTATAGAAAAGGCTTAATGTTGAACCTCTAGAATGCCTAGTGATGCTTCAGATAAGAAGTAAGTGAAAGCAGGGACGCCTGGGTGGCTCAGTGGTCAAGTGATTGCCTGTAGCTCAAGATCCTTGGGTCCTGGGATCAAGTCCTTCTCCCTCTGCCTATACCCCTCTTTCTGTGTCTCTCATGAATAAATAAATAAAATCTTAAAAAAAAAGTAAGTGAGAGCAGTGGTCTTCAAAGTGCCATGTGCATCATTCCATCAGTTTGGATGTTGGGGGTGTATCCTCCGCCCTCTATCTTTTTTGTGTGCATGTTATAATGTCTGTAATATACTAGTGCTTAAATCATTAGATCATAATGCATAAAATATGCTTTAAGATTTTGGGGTGGAAACAAGAATGTACTAGGATTAAGTTTGTTTGTTTGTAACAAGGGGGGGTGGGAAACAGTAGCTTAAAGTAACATAAAAGTTTATTTCTCTCTCTCATAAGAGATACTGGCTGTCAGCAGCCCAGGGCAGGTCACATCCTATCCATGTGTTCTACGCCCTTCCACAATTGATTTCCATCTTCAGAGTCCCCTTGTGGCTCTGAGGGGCTGGTGGAGGTCTGGTCTCCTTGACTCATAGTCTAGACAGTAGGAAGGAGTAAGAAAAGAGCAGGAACCCCGATCTTACCCCCACCTTTAAAATTATTTTTCTTTTAATTAACAAACTTTATTTTTTAGAGCAGTTTTAGGTTCATAGCAAAATTGAGCCAAAAGTACAGAGAGCTTCTGTAAACCTCAGGGTTCCCTTCTTTGAAGTGATGAGCTGACTGCCACCCTTCCCTGCATGTATGTTGAGCCGTGTACATCTCCATGGTGAGAATGGGGCAAACCTGGCCACGGGGAAGCTTGGAAAATAGTAGAGAGCAGCTTTGCTGCCTTAGATAAAACTGGGGGTCATGGCCAAGGTAGATGGGGAGATGTTGAGAACACTTAAAATCGTCATAAAGCTACTTGATGCAAAAGTCTTTTACTATTTTCTCTGGATTATGCAAAAGAGAGTAAATTCAAGCCTGAAACCGGTGCCTTTAGAAAACTTTTTGTGGTGTTAATGTTGAAATACACTGTTTATTGTGCAAAATTATTATGAGTTCTTAAGGGCTTCATCTGAAGCATAAGAAATAGTCATTTAAAATTACGCCAAGAAATCCTACAATTATACAAAGTACATGGAAGGAGGTATTTTATGTTAATTTGGAAGCATAGTTAGCATTTGATATGGGATCGGAAGGAACGCTCTATGGAATGGCTAGGCAACAATCGAAAGACCGGTAAATACTGAAAAAAATATATAGTTCAACACACCTGTCCTTTGGTGCACCCTAGACTTCCGTGGGCCTGTGCTTTCAGTTTGTTCCTTCAGTAAATACTTCAGCTCCTACTGATTTCAAGAGACTCCTGAGGAGCACCGGTCCCTCCTTGTCGTCCCTGTAGACCTGCCGAGGTAACGACTAGCTGCTTGTGCTAAACGCTCTGTCTCGTCTCCCGTCTCTCTCCCTGGCCTCCCCCTCTCCAAAAGCGCGTACTCCTTCCACGTGACCGCAGACGGTCAGATGCAGCCTGTCCCCTTCCCCCCCGACGCCCTCATCGGACCCGGCATCCCCCGCCACGCGCGCCAGATCAACACCCTGAACCACGGGGAGGTGGTGTGCGCCGTGACCATCAGCAACCCCACGAGGCACGTGTACACGGGCGGGAAGGGCTGCGTCAAGGTCTGGGACATCAGCCACCCCGGCAACAAGAGCCCCGTCTCTCAGCTCGACTGTCTGGTGAGTGAACAGGAACTGGCCTCCGGGTAATGTCTCCCTGGAGACTCAATAAGGAAATGGCTGTTTGGGCCTGGGTTTTATTCCCATTATGAGGAAATGGAAACCCTTTCTGTTTCCTGCCGTTTGTTTAGCTCCCCCACCCCTCACCCTGCAATGAAACCTTGAAGGTTTCATTTGCTGCTGTTTCAGTGGTTCAGTCTCCGCGCTGATGGATTTCTTTTAAAAGATATTTTCCAGGAGTTTACAGAAGCTGTCCTTGTTTCAATGTGTATTCAAAAGGGGGTTTCCCATTTAATGGGTGAAAGCACAGCGAGGCCTGGACTCTGAGCCCTGCAATCCACTCAACTTTTAATTTCCCTGAAGCCTTCGGATAAATATTGAACAGTAAACATTTGATAATGTGGCATAAAAAAGTATTCTGAACGGGGTCTGTGTTTTCAGGGAGACCTGGAAGGGCTGGCCGGGTTTTATTACTTGAACTTCAGGAAAGGTTAATGGATCACACTGCCAAGAAAATGGGGTGGCCGCAGGCAGAAGGGGAATGGGGAGAATGCTTTCCCAGAGCACCCGAATCCGCCTTCTCCCCTGAGTGAGAGAATACCATTTTTGCATTTCTCGGGATCGAAGAACCTGTTGGGACAGGTCTCGATCTCTAAACCACGACCCCAGACTTTACAGACCACATATCACAGCCCCCCTCGCCCCGATAGGGTGCCTGCCTGCGCTTTTCCATGGTCGGTGGTGCGGTTTACCCACCTCCTGCCCAGCGACTGCTGAGGATTCTGGAGACAGAGGTTTCCAGAAGAAGAACAGCAGTGTTTTAGAGATGCAAAAGCCTTTTTTTGGAGTTGTGATTGATTTACTTTTTAATCAAACAGCTTTAAAAGATCTCAATTAATGAGATTTCAACATGCTTACACATAGGCCCACATCTATAAAGTAGGGGTGTTTTGTGATACTCATCACCGTTTTTTTTGTTTTTTTTTTTTTTTTTTTTTTTTTTTTTTAATTTACGTGCTTAGAGCCTTTCTCATCTTTGAATAATAGGCCATGGTCAAAGCACAGGGAAAACTTCAGTTCTGTTTGGTTTGAAGGTTAGCAGTTATTTCTTTCAGGGAAGGGAGGGACATTTTTAGGTTCCACCTTCCTTTTTTTTTTTTTTTTTTTTTCAAGAGGTAGGGACTGAGGCAGAGGGAGAACTTTCTGCAGGCTCCACGCCCATCATGGATCCTATGACCCTGAAATCATGACCTCAGCTGAAATCAAGGGTCCCACACTTAACTGACCGAGCCACTCAGCACCCCTCTCACCTTCCTTAGTATGTGTTGGTTTTGATAGAGAGATGCCCTCTTTTATCAATTTCTTTGGGCTGAGAGGCTTGAATATGGCAGCAGCTGTGTTACCTCTTGAGAAAGCAGGTCTGTTAAAGTCTTAATAAGGATCCATGTGGCTAATGAAGGCACAGTGCTAATGAAGACGTCTTAAGTAAAGATTTAAGAGTAATGAAAACCAGAACATAGGCAGTAGGTCTGCAGTTTCCAAGTAGTAAATAAGGGAAGGTGATGAGGTCAGAGATTTATAACCCAGCTTTGAAAAGTGGTTTCTTCACAGAGAAGTACATACACACCTACCTTGCAACCACTGATCATTTCAGTTCTTTCTACTCAGCAGGAAACTGGGTGTCAGGAATAGTTCCATCTAAGAGTTTGCACGTGCCCTAGCAAGCCTCAGCGTTTTTTTATTTACTGTTTCAAAGGGGACAGTTATATCTGGATCCTGATCTTTGCTACTGAACTCTTGCTTTATTAGTGTCCACAAAATACCACTTTTCAAGTCAAAAACCAAGATAGCAGTTGGAGAGCATGGTATTGTTACTGCTTGGTCATGCATCATAGCAATTGAATTATGTTTATTTCACAGAACAGGGATAACTACATCCGTTCCTGCAAATTGCTCCCTGATGGTTGTACCCTCATAGTGGGAGGGGAAGCCAGTACTCTGTCCATCTGGGACCTGGCAGCTCCCACCCCACGCATCAAGGCAGAGCTGACATCTTCAGCCCCTGCCTGCTACGCCCTGGCCATCAGCCCCGACTCCAAGGTCTGCTTCTCATGCTGCAGTGACGGTAACATCGCGGTCTGGGACCTGCACAACCAGACACTGGTGAGGTGAGCAGATGTGGTTTTCTAGGGTGAGGGTTCCCTCTTTGGGTCCCTGGGCCTTCAAGCCTCCTGTCCCCTCTGCCTCTCTGGTTGCACCCAGGCTCTCAGCCCATGTTAGGAGCCTCCTTTTTGCCAGGCATAGACCTCTAGGTATTGGGAGTGTGAAGACAAAACTTTGACACTGTCGTCTGGGGGGCTTACAGCCTTGCTGCTGTGCTTGGTGTCCCCCACACTTTACCTCCCCAACATCCCCATTCTTCAGCCACTTAGAGATGCCAGGCTTGTTCAAAAAATATTCCTGACTTCCGCCAAGTGGAGGCATGCATACCATGGGATTACATGGCGGTACGGAGGGTTCTTAATACTAGATGTTTTTGACTTTGACTAGAACCTTGTTTGTGCAAATAGAAGCCAAGTGACAGAGGATAACAGAAAATCAACAGAAGGACATTAGAGGAAGACACACACAAAACAGTTTTAAAGTATCCTTGTTTCTCAAAAACTAAATCAGCACTGTCCAAGGGTCATTCTCCCCAGGAATGAGCCCAACTTCCTGGAATCTGTCCTCTTAACTGTGGTGACAGCTGCAGTCCTGCCAGCCCTGTGTCTCTTCTCAGTGCTGGCCAGCTCCTTCCCTCTGCTGGAATCAGAGTCCACACCAGAGATGTTACAGAAAAGTTTCCAAAGGGAAGCACCAGTTAAACATCCCAGGTGAAACTGGTGTATGTTCTGGTTTATTCCCTATTTCAACTTTGCTCAGAAGTACTCTTCATTTATGGTGCATTTTAGGTTCATGAATTACTTAACAGGTCCCCTAATGCTTTGGGTCCATGTGCCAGAGCAAAGGGATGGACTTTAGATGTCATTATAGCAGCTTAGTCTCCGTCCAGATGTCCTCTATAGAAATCCAGTCAGTGTCACCGAGCCAGGCTCTGTCCCTGTGTGTGGGTGACACCATGGCCATTATTTTTCTCTTGTCATCTGCTGAGCAGCTCAGAATGTGCAGAATGGACACATGCAGCTGGAGCTGACACCCCCTTCAAACTTTTAGCCCAACAGGTGTTTGTTGTTTTTTTCTTTTCTTTTTTTTTTTTTTAATCTCAATAAATAACACTTTCAACATTTTAATTCTAAGGCCTTTTCAAATACTAATCCGTTTAATCCTCAGAACATCTGCACTGCTATTATTTTGATTTTATAGGTAAGGAACCTGAGGTACACAGAGAGGTTAAGTCTGTTTGCCTGGCTCACACAATTGGGTGTGGGGGAGATGTGATGGGGCACAGGCATGCTGTTCTTATGTCTGTGCTCTGAACTCCTGCTCTGTGCTGGCGCCCTACTGAATATAACAGGGTAGTGTTTTACAAATGTCTTGCTCAGTTTGGGTTGGCTGCAGGTAGCTGGTGGCTTCTCTGTATGAGAAGGTGACATGGAATCTGCTGAGCATCTCAGTATCTCCCGAGACCCAGCACGGTCTGAGCCTGTCTTCCAGGAGCCTGAGATTAGTACCGAGATTTGTAGGTGGGAGAGGTGGAGGAACACCCACCAGGCACCTGACGTCAGCAGAGAAAGGCATTCATGACTCTGCAGAGAATGCAGAGAGGTCACTGGGTTTCTCGAGTAGAAACCAGGATGGAATAGCAGAACTTTCACAAGATGAGTCTGAGGCTGCAGTCATCTTGGGTGACCTGTGGGGAAGTCTTGGAGGAAAGGAAAGTCTGGCTGGGGTACGTGTGCATGGGACACAGTGGGGAGGGTTGCGTGCATGTGGGGAAGAAGACTAAGATGGATGTTCAGAATAGCTTTTAGAGGAACGATTTTTGAAGCTCTCATCTTAGAATTCACATCAAGTGGTGCTTTGTCTTGTCTTCCACACTCAATAAACTCTTTTTTTTTTTTTAATGATTTTATTTATTTAGTCGAGAGAGAGGCAGAGACACAGACAGAGGGAGAAGCAGGCTCCCTGTGGGGAGCCCAGTGTGGGATTCAATCCCAGGACCCCAGGCTCATGCCCTGAGCCGAGGGCAGACGCTCAACTGAGCCACCCAGGCGTCCCCACACTCCACTCATTAAATTCTAAGCTCAGTTTCAAAGTTTGGAGCTCTGTGAGAATAATAAGGTGAGGGGACCTAGAGGAAGGACAGACATAGAGACTCTTCTCTGGGTGTTGAAACTCCCCAGCCCCTCTAACGTATCCCGCCTGGTTCCCCGTAGCGATGGGGCCTGTTCTGGTCACTTCCTTGCTGACTCCCTCCTGCCCTGCAGAACCAGGTCCAGAATCCACAAACCACCAACCCTGCGGTGGCTCAGTGTGGCCTCTCCCTCAGCAGACCCCACCTCGGGCCTAGCAGAGCCTCTTTGCGCCACAAACCCCTGTCACTTGATTGTTTCTGGTCTTGTTTTTTTTTTTTTTTTTTTTTTTTTGACTGAACCACATGAGTTCTCTCTAAGAGAACAACCTTGAGCTGACCTTCAAGGCAGGGTGGCAAGGAGGTGCCCATGGGTCAGCCTCAGCAGTTAGCAGTCTCTGCTCAGTGCCCCCGAATCAGGCGGATGGTATGATCCTTCATCTCTGGGAGTCCAGATTTCCTAACGCAGGGCTCTTTCTAACACAGAAAGCGAGGTTGAGTAAATATGTGAGCTCATGCTGTGTTGGCATGGAGGGCATTGCCTTGTGGACTCCTTCATGGAAAAGGGAGTGTTTCTGGGACCCTGAGCTGGTAATGTACTGATGCGGGCCGACGTCTTTCTTTACAGAATACACTTGGGATTCTGTGTGTTTGTCCTTTTTTTTTTTTTCTTTTAACACTCAAACACTTTTCCAGACCCGGGAGGAATTTTACCTTCCAGACGGATTTGTAAGAAGAGCTACAAGAGCGCATTTAACTTCTCCTGTGTGATGACCTAAAATGGCATTCCATTTCTTTAGCACTTGGATCGTGAAAAAAGAAAAGGGAAAAAAATCTGCAGGTGCTGTTTCCTCCTCGGGGGAAGGTTAGTTTGATCTTGCACATCAGCAGACACTGAAGAGATGACACACACACCCCGCGTCCAAAACTAACAACACAACAGTGTTTACCTTGAGCTCTGGCAGGAAATCATTATTCAATCTCGTTTGTTTTATCAGGCAATTCCAGGGCCACACAGATGGGGCCAGCTGTATTGACATTTCTAACGATGGCACCAAGCTCTGGACGGGTGGCCTGGACAACACGGTCAGGTCCTGGGACCTACGCGAGGGGCGCCAGCTGCAGCAGCATGACTTCACCTCACAGGTGATGCGCTTTTCCCCACAGGAATCTCTGAAGTGTCCTGTGTGTGATGTCTTCCTCCCTTCATACCCCGTGGCAGTAATTAGGAGGCAGACAGACTAGCCTTAAATTTGAGATACCCATTTAAAACAAACAATAAAAAAACCCCACAGACAAACAAAGCCTCTGAAATGCTTAGCGTGGTTTCTAAAACTTTGTCAGTAAGACCTGTGAGTTTTACTTATATGTGAGTTCACTGCAGGAACTTGTTCAACAAGGGACATACAGTTTGACCTGCTGTACATATTCCCACCATGTAGTGTGGGAGGTGAGAGGTCATTATTGGATCCACATATAAACAGAGCTTGAAAAATGTGCCGGGTTATCATGAGGAGTCAAGAAAAATCACAACACTCTGAAAGTTAATTCATTTCCCTTGCATCGGGGAGCTTAAAAAAATGCAGCAGCAGCATCTCAGTGGTTGCCCGTTTTCTTATTCATCCCTCGGAAACTGGACTCGTGGCTGGCTAGATTTATGGAGGTTTGAAATTACAGGAAATGGCAACTTTGTGGATCATGGAGATGAGTTAGATATCAAGTATCTGAATCTAGACTTGTTCTGGGAACAACAGTGCCATTCTAGGTGTCTTCTGACGGTGGGATTGATCTTTTGATCATTACTCATGTGTAGCTGTGCACAGTTCTAAATTTTGTGTCCCTGTTAATCTTGTGGGGAGTCTCTTAGAGTCTTCTCATTCCAGCCCTTTTCTCGGCATGAGTTAGGCTACTGTTTTTGGTCTGCCTTTTTAAAAAAAATAACTTCTTATGGAAAATTTCAGATATATACGAGTGGAGAAAATGTCCTAGCATATGGAAGTAAGAGAAGTATCCGATAAACCCTGTTTGCTCATTACTCAGCTTTACAGCTGCAAACCCATAACTTGTCTCATGTATCATCCCTGCCCCCCAAACACTGGATTGTTTTAATGTAAATCCCAGACCTCGTGTCATTTCATCCATAAGCATTTCAGGGAGTATCTGCAAAGGACAAGCACCACGTGAAAACATACACACAGATGTCATTATTAGTAAGACTCATTTCTTGGGGCACCTAGCCAGCTTACTCAGAAGAGCATGTGGCTCTTGATCTCGGGGTCGTGAGTTTGAGCCCCACATTGGGGGTAGAGATTATTTAAATATGTAAACTTAAAAAAATACTTTTTAAAAAATAATTTCATTCCATGTGATGTATGTATTCCAAGTTTTCTGATTGTTTTCATAAAGGTTTTTAACACATAGTGTGTCTGTGTTGGGTCTCTTGTCCCATGGACTACTACAGACTGGAGTTTGCTGAATTACATCTCCTCTTCTTTGCTAATTTACCCCCGTTTCTTGTTGCCATTTTACTTCTCAGTTTATTGGGCAAAATCACTAGTGAGCCTGTTCTGCTTCCTACAGATCTTCTCCCTTGGATACTGCCCAACTGGGGAGTGGCTGGCCGTGGGCATGGAGAGTAGCAATGTGGAAGTTCTTCATGTAAATAAGCCTGACAAGTACCAGCTGCATCTCCATGAGAGCTGCGTGCTGTCCCTAAAATTTGCTTATTGTGGTGAGTGGAGCTGAAAGGAAACTGGAGGATGCCAGTGGCCTCAATAGAAAATACTTCTTAAAAAAATACAGTGGAGATCATGTCTGGAAAAAATGTTCTCTGAGCAGCTGGATGCAATAATTCTATTGTGTTAATACGTCCCTCAGAGCATAGTGATGTCCGTTTCAACCCATTTTCCTAATATGAGAAAAGTCAGTAGGTAATGCTTGCAAGGTTTTGACAGATTTTTTTATTATTATTGTTATCATTATTATTATTATCATCATTATCATTATCATTATTATTTAGCGGGAGAGTCTGGGGCCGAGGTGGAGGGCAGTTAGTTACCACTCTAATGCGGGGAGGAACTTACAGAAGCCTGGGGCAGGCACACTGGAAGTCACTTTGGATTGAGCAGGATAGGGAATGAGGATCACAGAAGGGATTATTTAGCTTCCCCCACACAGTTATATGCTACAGTGAAGAGGGAAGAAGTTCATGTGGAGTCGGATATTTGTTCTTGGAGTGGACTGAGGGATGAGTGACCATTAGTCAATGAGCACATTCTATGTGCCATATATTCGTGTCTGGCATTTTACTCAAGTTCATCATTTAATCCTTCCTAGTCCCATTTCATCATGAGGAAAGTGATGAAAAGGACAGTAGCTTCATCATCTCACTATTTGAGGACCCACTGTGTGCTGAGTGTTCCGAAGTGTATCTGGTGGCTCATGGGGCTGACACAGCCCCTGCTGCTTCGATAAAACCCAAGACCACAGGTGGTTCACGGTGGAGCCCAGATTTAAAACCTGATCTCTCCCTTCACATCCCAGCCAAAGCCGTTGCACATGATAGTTCATGATTAGAAATGCTCTGAGTTTGTTTTAGTCTGGGTTGCTAATAATATAGTAGGTATTTTAATCTTGCTAAACCCCATATTCCTTTGCTGACTCTAGGTAAATGGTTTGTGAGTACTGGCAAGGACAACCTCCTCAATGCTTGGCGGACCCCCTACGGAGCTAGTATATTCCAGGTGGGTCACTGCCCCTTCCAGGAATGGCAGTTTGATGAGGGCATTCTCCATGACTCCAGAAGTGAAGGTGCCTGGGGGAGGAGCAGGGCCTCTGAGCATCGCCATTCACAGAAAACCTTTGCCTCTTGTTTTCTCTTCCAGTCCAAAGAGTCCTCATCTGTGCTTAGCTGTGACATCTCAGTGGATGATAAGTACATAGTCACTGGCTCAGGAGACAAGAAGGCTACAGTCTACGAAGTCATCTACTGAAAACATGGGTTTAACATTTATAGTTGAATCGGGCCAAAATGTTTTGAATTTGTAGAAATAGAAAAGTTGTAACTTTAAAAGGAAAAAAAAGAAAACCTGTTTCCAAACCTTGACACAAAACTATTTTGAGTCTACAAAGAGGAGGCAACGAGTCCCATCAACTGAAGGTCACCGATCTACCTAGACCAAACGGACACCGAGGCAGAGTGGACAGAGGGGCCAAGGGCTGTAGGCAGAGCCTGTTCTTTCCTTTCTGTGTGATCTGCCTAGATTACCTTTCTGTTCCTTGCAGTTCCCCTCACGTTCTGTGCTTGGTAGAGCAGTGGTGTCTCCAATGAACTTGTTTCCTGGTTTTGCATCTTGTGAAATGTTTTTTTGTATTTTTGTTGAAGGTTAAACATTTGTATAAATTGTAAATATATTTGGTTTATTACAGTAAAGGCTTTAGTACCAATAAGTGGTTTTCCCTTTCCTTCTTTTCTGTTTCTATCAAAGCTTTGGGATCATTAATGTAGATTTTATCAGCAAAGTCCACACATTTGCAGAGGATGTTTAAAAATGCACTTTTGAATTTGCCAATATATTTCGCCATGGGCTCGCACTGCCCTGGCACCTGATCAACACTTCTGAGTTCCTGGGAACTCAAGACTAAGAATAGTCAGTCCTTGAAGGTTTGCTAGTGACACTTTTATTTGGGAAGCTAAAATAACTTCATCAGGATTCATGTTTCCTTTTTTAAGATACACTTGTGATTGGAGGTCACAAATTAAAATCTGCTTTTTCCTGGTGATTCATAGGGAGACAGAATATTCTTTAGGAAAGGCCATCTTCAAATCTTTCTTGGCACATCTCGAGGCATGTGGGGTGACTTGTGTCTAGTGTTATGATCAATGATGTTCACAAAGCTGTGGAATTCATTAACCTGTAAAAGAAAGATGGGATCCCAACTGGTTTTGTCTCGTTAATATTTATTTAATCTATTATATGGATTGATTTAAGCCAGTCACACCCAGCACTCAGCCCCATTCTTCTCATTAAGGCTTTCCCCTCAGCTTCTTCTAGCCATTGTGATCTCTCATTAGTCTGGTCTTGCTCTTGGTGGACAAGCTTTTATTAATTTGATTAGATGAAACCTTAACGTTGGCCATTCATGTTTCCTCCTGAAAAGGCTACGTGGCTCACTTCTTCGTATACCTATTATTTGCTGTTATATTTTAGAAAAGAACGGTTAATATTTTTAAGCCAAGTTTCCTGGCTATTTAAAAATAGCACCTAAGGAATTTTTAATGTTCTTGTTTTCTTAGGATCCAGCAAGTTGTTGGCAGTTTGTCTTAATATTTTTCATTTGTTATCCAGACCTTCTTGTTTTTATACATTTAACAACGTTATTTTGTTTGCCTTTTGCCAAAATAATATTTGTGTATGCTGAGAGTTTGTTAAATATTTTCTCTTCTCATTAAGAGAATGGCAAAGCCCTAATTACGGAAGCTGATTTCTCTCATCCCTCCCCTGTATAATGAAGCATGTTTCTGTACTACATATGCTGATGGCTTATTAATGTAGTATTTATCTTTTCTGTTGTCTCTTACCTGACTTCCCTATTTTCTATAATAGGAGGGAAGCACTTAAGTTGCTAGAACAGAGACCTCCAATGCAGTGGCTTAGAGACCACGGGAGTTTGTGCCTTCCCCTAGAGACCTGAGCCAGTGGTGCCGCGCTGTGCTTTCATGCGGGCTTCTGTTGCCCCCACTCCCAGCCAGCAGTGGGGAAAGTTAAAGTCCAGGGGACAGATAACCTTTCAAGCAGATGACTTAAGAGTCTGTTCATTATTCCTAATTGGCTAGAACTCAGTCACGTGGGAGACTGGGAAAAGGGATGTCTTGCTTGCTGTGCAGCTAGCTGTGTGCCCATTAAGAGGAGGGGGTTTTGAAAGGACTCTAGGTTAAAGAAATAGCCCTGTTTTCTCTTGGTGCATTTTTTTCCTTCCATGCTTTCTTGTTTCTCAAGCTTCGGATATTCTGTCTCTAGTTATATTTTCTGAGGGTGTAGACCTTACAACTCCTCAATTATCGTGAATCTAATGAAACCGTCTCCATTTGCTAGTGTGGTGCTGAAAGAGGCATCTTAGCGCAAGTCCTGCTCCTCTGCTCAGGGTGTTTGGAATCTTGGGGAATTGCCAAGACAATTGTTTCCCTCCTTGTAAAATGGGAATGATACAATAGTTGTGCCTGCCCCTCTGAGTCTAGGGGATCAAAAGCAGGACTGAGTGGCAGCTCTCTCACAATTGGAGGATGTGAGTGGGAAAGCAATTTTTTCCTAAACTGAAATTAGGAGTCATGCTGCTGTCCCCAAGCAGTCTGGAATCATGGGATTGTTGAAACCCTGGTAAGCCAAAAGTTGGTATACTCCATGCTTTGAATATGGATTACAAATTCAGGTTTAATAAATTCAGATTCAACTAGATGTTGGTCACCTCTATGTGCCAAAAATGGTACTAGGCAGTTTTACCCATAAACACGTTCGGAGATGATTGTCATTATCCCTAAATGTATTTAATCCTGTTTTTTTTAAGCACTCGCAGTCTTTGCACCTTGAATGTAGGTTTATGCCATCTGGCTCGTCCATGGAATTGAAGTTTACTGGGTAAAAATTGAAATCCTAGTGAGATTAGGTTTGGAATGTCTTTTTGTAAAACTAGATGTTTCTAGAACTCCTAATAAGGACAAAATATTTCATCAATATGATAATTAGCATTTTTTTAAGGTTGTGCTATTTGCCAGGTGATAGGGAAGTGTTTGACATAAATTATAATCTTCACAACGGTTGAGAGATGGGATTTTTTGATGGCCTAATTTTTTTTTTTTTTTTAAAGATTTCATGACTGGTAAGTAGCTTCTGGCTTTAAAGCCATTGAGCATTCATACGGAGATTTTTTTTTAAAATGGCACTTTTGCTGTTGGCACACAGAGGTTGTGACTTTCCCCAATGAGTTTTCCAACAAATCAGAGAGAGATCAAATTCTTAACTTCAGCATGCTGTTTCATGCCATCAAGAGACTGACTGCTGCCTCTGTCATCAGCTTGAAATTGAGTGATGACATTTCAAACTCCATTCTGCTGTAGATCCATGGATTTTTTTCTTCTCGGACAGCTCTTCACTCCTCGCTCAGCAATGAAAGCGTCAGATCACCACAGTTTCGGGCTTCCCTGAGCAAACTGTAGCTTGGGTGAGGGTTATTTTCTGCTCTGGGGAATTTACTCAACAGATACCCAAAGCTTTGGTTTCATATTTTGTCCTGGCACTTAAACAGTTAAATGCTTGAGAGTTGGGTTCATATTTCTAGAAAAGTTGTTCTCAAACTTTAATGGGCATCAGAATCACCAGTAGGAACAGATTCAGATTTTGGGGTCCCCAACTCTTGAGTTTTTGAGTCAGTAGATTGGGTGGGACCTGAGAATTTGTAACTGTCCACGTTTCTACTTGGTCTTGAGGCTTCTGGTCTGGAGACCACACTTTGAGAATTGTTCATCTAGAGCAATAGTCTTTATAATGGAGCTATCGGTGTTTTAAAAACCTTTTAGAGGGATCCCTGGGTGGCGCAGTGGTTTAGTGCCTGCCTTTGGCCCAGGGCGCGATCCTGGAGACCCGGGATCGAATCCCACATCGGGCTCCCGGTGCATGGAGCCTGCTTCTCCCTCTGCCTGTGTCTCTGCCTCTCTCTCTCTCTCTCTCTCTCTCTCTGTGTGTGTGTGTGTGTGTGTGTGTGTGTGTGTGTGTGACTATCATACATAAATTAAAAAAAAAAATACCTTTTAGAGTGGATTCGTAGTCTCTTGCCTGGATCTCTCCCATCTTTTAATCTTCAGGGGTAAGGAGTAGAACTAAAATGACAATAAAACATAAGACCTACTCTTTGGAGGTGGCTGTTGCTTTAGTTTTTGGTCCCCAAACTAACTTTTGAAGCTGAATATTATAATACAAATGCAAATTGAGTACTTTAAACAGTTGCATTTGCCTTAATCTTTTTTTTTTAAGATTTTATTTATTCATGAGAGACAGGCAGAGGGAGAAGCAGGCTCCCTGTGGGGAGCCCGATGTGGGACTAGATCCTAGGACTCCAGGATCACGACCAGAACCAGAGGCATCAGACGCTCAACCACTGAGCCATCCAGGTGCCTCACTTAGTCCTAATTTAATCTGAGTTATATGAGACTTCTATTAGGATTAGAAAACCTACCACAAGGACCTAAAGTAGTGGAAGCCTTGTGAATGCTTAATTGGAGTGGTGATGTATAATTAAAAGTTAGAACTTGTTCTTTGAAAATTGGAATACTTACGGGATGCCTGGGTGGCTTAGTGGTTGAACATCTGCCTTCAGCTCGGGGCATGATCCCGGTCCCGAGATCGAGTCCCACATTGGGCTCACTACAAGGAGCCTGCTTCTCCCTCTGCCTATGTCTCTGCCTCTCTCTGTGTGTGTTTCATGAATAAGTAAATAAAATCTTTAAAAAAAAAAAAGAAAATTGGAATACTTACTGTGTGTAAAATAACAAGCTGCTGACTTTATAGAATGTTTTTATTCTTCAGATTATCATATTAGATCAGTCAATCCACCAGTATTTATCGAGGATGTGACCTCGGCCCTTAGTGAAATTATTCTACTGAGAGAGGTCTGGGGAAGATCTGCTGATAATAACAGAGGGCAATATGGGTGAACCACAGCCCTAAGGAAACCCAACAGTAAAGGACTGGACAGGCAGCTCTCAACAGTCTTGGATGTAAATTATTCATTTGACATTAGCTGTCTAGGTCATTAGCTGTCTGTTGCCATTTTAGCAACAGTTTGGAAGAACTGTTGTGTGCCAGGCACTGGGCCAAGGGCTTCCAGATGTTCCCACATGATAGTATTTTTTTACTCATAAAACTATCATATACCTCTGATTTTAACTTGGAAAATATAACAAGGTATGAAGAAGAAAATAAACTCCATAATGATGCCTCTAAGAAACAATGTTGTATTCTCATATCAAATATGTTCAATATAATATAGATAATTAATAATAATGAACTTTTGTTGAGTACCAAATACTCAAGGACATTTGTACACTGTATTATCTCACTTAATGTTCAAAGAAGCCCAATGAGGTGGTTATTGGGTTCATGCTCATTTAACAGATAAAGAAATAAGCACAGAGAGGCAGTAACTAACTAGCTGGAGATCACACAGCTAATTATTGGTGGAGTCAGATTTTAATCCAGGTGGTCAGACTCCAAAACCTAGCACCTTAATTCTGTTCTACCTTCTTGTCCATATGGTTTTATAATGTGTTTCTTGCCTTCTTTTGCTTTTCTTGTTTTCAGCTTGAAGTATAATTGACAAAAATAATTATTAGATATTTAAAGTGTGCAACGTAATAATTTGATAGAAGCATATATTATGAAATGATTCCCCCATCAAGCTAACTAACATATCTATCGCCTTGAATATTTATTTTGGGGAAGTAGTGAGAACACTTCAGTTCTACTGTCCCAGCAAATTTCAGTTAATATACTACAGTGTTTTTATCCTTGGACCTTGTTCATCTTAAAATGGAAAGTTTGTACCCTTTTACCAACCTCTCCCTATTTTCCTTACTTTCCAGCCCCTGGCAATCATCATTCTGTTTCTATGAGTTCATTCTTCTTCTTTTTTTTTTTTTTAACTGCACATGTAGGTGATACCATACAGTGTTTGTCTTTCTCTAGGTTCATCCATGTTGTTGCAAATGGCAACATTTCCTTTTTTTTAAAGGCTCAATAATTTTATGTGTGTGTGTGTGTCTCACATTTCCTTTATCCAGTCATCCACTGATGGACTCATAGGTTGTTTCTATACCTTGGCTATTGTGAACAATGTTGCATTGATCATGGGAGTGCAGATATCTCTTTGAGATAATCATTTCATTTCCTTTGGATATAAATCCAGAATTGGGATGGCTGGATGGATCACATGATAATTCTATTTTTAATTTTTTGAGGAACCTCCATGCTGTTTTCCATTGTGGCTGCACCAGTGAACATTCCTACCAACAATGCACCAAGGGTTCTCTTTTCTCCACTCACTTGCTAGCATTTGTTATCGCTTGTCTTTTTGATGATAGATATCCAAACAGGTATGAGGTGATAATCACCTTGTATTTGATTTCTGTTTCTCTTAGTGATTAATGATGCTAAGCACCTTTTTTTTTTTTTGCTAAGCACCTTTTCATGTACCTGTTGGCCATTTGTATGTCTTCTCTGGAAAAACATGTATTCACATCTTTGCCCATTTTTTAATTGGGTTATTTGGAGGATTTTTTGCTAGTCGACTTTATTTTTCTTTATTAAAATTTATTTGCACACAACTCACAATGTTGGATTTACTATAATTTGCTCATTTCTCATTTGTTAGGTAAGTGGGCTATTTCAAATATTGGGATATTGTTACAATCCTTGTAAAGAAAATGTTCATATATAATTTTCTCTCCTTATTTCTCTTCCTTTCCTTAGAATTAATCCCAAGAAATGGAATTACTGTATCAAAAGATAAAATGTTACTGCAGATCTTTGATATACACTGCCAAATTGCTTTCTAGAAGACTTTCAAATAGTCTTGGGACTATTTATACTACTCCCAGCAGAGCATGGTAATGCTAGCTTGCCTCAGGTCAACCACATGGTTCTTACCCTAAGACATATTTGCTAATGGTAGGCAATAAGTGATATCCCATTTTCTCATTTAGTTTTGCTCAAGCTTAGATTTATTCTTTGAAAGGATCCAGACGAGGTCAGCTCGTTGACCATGTGATCCCTATACTTAAGATCTCTGTCCCATTAGCAGTCCTAGGAAATCTTTCATAGAGCCTTGATAGCTTCTTTTAGACACCTAAAGTGAGTGTCTAATTTTCTCAAGATGGGTTTCTGTTATATAAACTTGTATGATCTCTTTTCAATATTAAGAAAGTACGTTCATTATTTTCTACAGTTATCCGCCGCTTGCTTCAAAGAGGTAATTTACAAACCCCAATGATGGTAAACCCTAGTAATGAGTTAAAAGCAAGGAATGATAACCTACTTCTGTATTGTTTTTGTTGTTTAAAACAAAAGGTTCTTCTGTAGCTGCAGGTGTGATATCCTACTTGTAATGAGAATGTGAGCCGGAAATAGCCCACTGGGCACTGTGATGTGTTGGAAGGACACCAAGTTTGGAATTAGGCACAGATCCCAGGTGTGATATGGGTTTATTATCATTTGGGTATGGCCTTGGGCAACTTCCTTAGTGCCTCTCAGGATTTTTCTCCAACTACAAATTGAAATAAAAATGCCTACCTTACAAGGCTATTGAAGGGATTAAACAAGACGCCATGGGGATCTCTGGGTGGCTCAGCGATTTAGCGCCTGCCTTCTGCCCAGGGCATGATCCTGGAGTCCCAGGATTGAGTCCACATCGGGCTCCCTGCATGGAACCTGCTTCTCCCTCTGCCTGTGTCACTGCCTATCTCTCTCTGTGTCTCTCATGAATAAATAATAAAATAAAAATCTTAAAAAAAAACAAGATTCTATTTTCTGAGAATATAACAATTTTAACACATTTGAGAGTTTCTACAGTCTTAAAGAATTTTTTTTTGAGACTTTGTTTTGAGAATTTAACATGGCACTGGTCATGCCTTTATTTCCTATTTTAGGTCCAGTTTAGGTAACCATTGAACTCATCAGCTAGCTTTTATTATATTGTGAGTGCCTTGCGCAATGAGTTAATGGTCTCAGAGCAGACTTTAACAAAAGTTGGCGCATTAATAACTGGTACCTGACCTGGTGACTCCAGTTCAGTCTGCTCAGGCACATCCGTTATCTTGTAAAGTGTCAAGCTTCTGTGTCCAGGACCCTCTGAACTGGCATCTTTCCCTAGAAATAACCAAACTCAAACATTGCCTTCTGAAAAGACAGTTAGTAAAGAAACACGGAATTGTTTTTGCAGCATGTTCGGATGGGAGGGGTGCTGCATTCCTGGCACCCTCTGCTGAAAACTGGTGTCTGTTCACTCTGTGCTCTGGAAAAATGCACATGGTGCCAGTGAATGGACTTGAACTTAATAGGTTAGTTTGGGAGGGTTCCCCTTCATTTTGTACAACACTAATCATTCAGACCATTCTCTCCAAGAGGAAAATATGTGTTTCAGTATCCTTTAGGGTTTAGGTAAGAGTTGTGTGCATACTCTTGCCATTTAAAAGGCTATAATGATGCATTTCACCCAAGAGGAGTGAGCTAAATAAGGCTTGTACAATTTCTACCTAGTCCACTAATTGTCAGGGTGTCAGCAATATTTTTAAAAGATTTATTTATTTGAGAGAGAGCACAAGTGGGAGGGGCAGGGAGAAGTACAGAGAACCTTAAGCAGATTCCATGCTAAGCACAGAGCTCAACACAGGGCTTGATCTCAGGACCCTGGGATCATGACTGAGCCAAAACCGAGAGTCAGACACTTAACATCTGTGCCACCCAATGGCCCTAGGGTGTCAGCAATTTTTGATGCATGTGGCCATTGCCCTTGCTGTGAGCAGGGCATGCTGTTATTTCTGTTTCTGTCACTCTGTCTAGTTAGTGAAGTAACCAGTGTAACAACCCAGCTTTACTGTATACTCTGCAATAAGCAACAGCCAACATGCAAAAGCCACTTGTAAAAGTGAGGTGGGAAGATTCCAAAAATCAAATCATTACTTCTATATATTTATATATATAGTAATATATGTGTGTGTGTGTATGTATATATATATATATATATATATATATATATATATATTTGAAGAAAGGGTCTACAAAGCATTTTTTAAAAGACCTCAAAACCTCTCCATCATAATATTTCTGTTTTTGATGTATTTCCCATACCATTCATATGAGAATGCACAGCACTCACTCCATTTTGCATTCTGCTCTTCTCATTAAGCTATCACAAGTCCTTTCCTTCCCCATATATCTGGATAATCTTCAGTTCTTTTTATTGGCTCCATCAAATGATACACCACCCTGTACTAGACTACTTCTACAATATTGCATGACTATTTTAACCACGTTTTAATTCTAATAACTACTGCAGTATTAAGCATCTTCACATATAGAACTGCTTTCTTCTTCCTTTGAATTATTTTCTTGGAATAATCTCAGGAATATTGCTAGATCATAGGTTTTGAATGTCTTATGAGCTTATTTTTCATTTCTGTAGTTGGCTTTCTTGTTTGCACAAAAGTAAAATCTGTCACTTCCACCCAACACAAGCATCTCAATCAAGAGTTTTATTTTTACCAAACATTCTGGATTTATTATTTCATGGGCATGTTTTATATGGCAGAATTAAAGAAAGAAACACAGTTTCCCTTTCCATTATGCAAACCATCAGCACACGAATAAGGTGTATGTGCTGAAACCTATGCCCTTCTGGTTTTCTTTCTGATATTGTATGAAGTGACCCATATCCTACT